TCAATCTGCCTGTTCTGCTCCCCACTGTGTCTCTGTGAATCCTCTCATCTTCTTGCACCTCTGGCCTACACCCCAGCTCTTGTATGCATAAATAAATAAATCTTTTTTTAAAAAAAGTGATTTAGTGGAGATGGGGACACAGTGGACACTAAAGAAATAGTTTTGATAAATTGAGTTAAGTAGATTTTTCCAGTTCTTCTTGTTACTGAATATTTAAAGTAAATTATTATTCATTCAATATTTATGCTAATGGGGTGGTCCTTGATCTACCTACTAAAAATGAATACAGAATTTAGAAATGAAGCAAATACTTTGTGAATTGCTGAACTACTGAACAAATACTTTATGAATTACTAAAGCACAGATAAGACAGTCATAACTAGTTTCAAAGGTAATATGTACAGAAGCTACACTGAAAATGGAAATTGTCCTAGTGTCCCCAGAAGTCTCTTGGGAACAAACAATTTATCCCAATTTTCTAAGTTTAGGAAGTACTGAAACTTCTCCTCTGGGAATTAGGACTGTGAATTAAGAATATGAGCATCTTCCCATCTATTATCTATTATAGAATCTTCAGAATCAGGGGAATTGTGCCAGAGAAGATGTCAAAACCTGGTATGGATTTTCACAGTCTGAGCACATTTTTAAACTTCTTTCCTTTGGTATGAAGGGAGGTGGGGGACCACCACTAAAGATTTGGGGGAGAATGTTAATGTTTTGTCCATGTTTGTATTATTAAAATTATCTTAGGCTAATGAGACTAGATGAATGTCCTATTTAGTTAGATGGCTTAATCTGAGAAGGCTCTATCTCAATTATCAGGAAGATCAGATGTTAATAATTGGTCCCACTTTTCCAATATAGAGATCTTTCTAGTTTATATAAAGTAGCAATCATTAGGAATTAGTATAGCTTTTAAAATTACCTTGTTTGGTTTGAAGTCCCATTGAAAAGGACATATCCAACAATTCTATTATAATTTTTCTCCCCCTGATTGATTAAAGGCACTGGCACAAGTTTGTAGTTCATGAAGTCTTTATATAGTGGAAAGAACATGTGAGTGGAATCAGGAGCCATAGATTCTAGTCCAGTATCTTCCAGTGGTAGATACTTAACTTTAGGTAAGTCACTCATTTATTGAGGTAATAGTTTTCTCAACCATAAACCAAAAATGTGCCTTAGGTCAGCATTTCCTAAAATGTGTTCTGTGCATGTCTTACAGTGTTCTGTTGGGGGGAAAAAAACATACATGAGTGGCCTCCTTGGTGGTGCAGGGGTTAAAGACAATGCTGTCAAGCTATACCCAGCCACGGCAGCATGAATTCAATCCTGGCATGCGAGAGAGCAACCCACATGGTGCAGCAGACCTCTCCTGCCTTGCCTGCTGCTCCCCTCAGTAGTGTATTTCAGTCAGTCTGCCTGTTGTGCTCCCCACTCTCTTAGGTGAATGCTCTAGCCCCCACACCTCTAGCTTACATCCTGTTCTTGTATGCATGAATAAATAAATCTTTTAAAAAAAAAAGAAAAGACACTTTCATGATTGTATACATTTGAGAAATGCTGTATATAAATAACATCTACCTCTTAGCAATTTACAGCACACATTAAAGCCACTGAAAAACCCTCTACTTTAGAAATGAATTGAACTTTAACATAGCATTTTTCACTCACATGATTAAAAGTGATTTTAAATTTTGGAGCTAGAATGTCAAAGAACATCTTGACACATTGGGAAATGATGGACTAAAATCCTTTGAGATGCACAGATTTATGTAACTATTCTTCCTCATACACATATTCAGCTAGTTCTCTAATACCTGCTCCTCCTTCTGGGATCTATATTTCAGAGAAGGCCACCACCATCCAGACTGTTTCCCAACCAGAATACTGAATGTCCTCCTAGCAGTCTCCTTCTCATTCCTCTCTTGTATCTGATATACATCAAATCCTATAGATACTATTGCCTTAATATTTCTCCCATCTAGTCCCTTCTCCGCATTTCACTGCCCCTGATTTTATGGAGACTTGCAACATAACTCATCTAGGTTACTGCCATCACCTCCTCACTTTCTCCTGTCTCGTGTCATTTCCAAAACACAAATCCAGTAGTTCTAGGGATTAAAATTCTCCTAAGAGTTTGTGATTTATGAAAATGTCCCACATTATCAAGTTCAAACTGCACTTGAGCACATGAGCCCCTTTGCTATGAGGTCCTGCGCCTCTTTGTTCCTTCTCTTTTCCTTTCCAGACAAAATGGAACTCATACAGAACCTCTAAGGCATCATGCTGTTTGGTGCCGCCATACCTGCACAGGTATTGTTTGTTGCCTTTGCCTGGAATACCTGCTCCCTCCTTCACCTGGTTAGTGCCTTCTTGTCATTGAACAATCAATTCCAGAGAATCTCCAGTGGGAAGGCTTTCCTGACTTAGGAATGGACTCTGTTTGAATAGTGACTTCCTTGCTTCCTTTACTCGCTGGATTGTGTGCTTTTTAAGGGACAGGAAGCACCTTGTCATGTCTTTCTTATCTTTGTATTCTCAAGTCTAGTTGGAGCTCAATAAACCCTGAATGATTTCATGGTTAAAAGGAACAGATGAAAACTGCTTACTTTTCTCAATAGCTGAAGCGACTCTGTTTTCTTTTCTAACTGGCCTTGACCAACCTAAGTACTGGGAACAGAGTTGGTTAAGAGCTACTACAGAATACTCAGTGGTCTATTTTTTGTAGGAGGTGTTGATGAAGTGAGTTTCTTCCTTGAACAGTATCACATAGTCTGGTAATAGCATTTGATGATGATAGGACTTTATTAGATTTGGCATTCAGGTATTTTTATTCTAAACAAACCTGGTCAAAAGGGAAACGCAGTGAGAAGCTATCGACTGATTTGTATGAATTCTTTCTTATAAAAGTGTTAGCACTTAGGGCGCAGCGGTTGAGCGCTGGGTTGCGAAGCTGCCCGCAGCCTCTGCGGCGCCGGTTCGATCCCCGGCTGCTCCCCGGCCACCGGAGGAGGGTCCCACATGGCTGCAGACCTCTCCTGCCACCCGCTGCTCCCCTCAGCAGTGTACTTCGGCCCTTCTGCCTGTTGTGCTCCCCGCTCTGGCTCTGGTGAATTCTCTCACCCTCCCGCACTTCTGACTGTACCCAGTGCATGTATAAACAAAACAAACAAACAAACAAACAAATAAAAAACATGCCTTTATAAAAAAAAAAAAAAATGTTAAAAAAAAAAATAAAAGTGTTAGCACTTATTAATATAAATAATATAAATATATGCTAGATATTATGGAAGAGATAAGGATGAATAATCTGTTGTATTACATTCATTAGGGAAGATCCTAACTTACTGAAACAATTACAATACCAGGTAAATAATGAATTCCATGAGAGGAACAGAGGTTACAGGAATTGGTCAGCAGCACCATCTTCATTTATGACATAATGTTTCATGCAAGAATATTAAAGCAACTGTGAAACTTAAAACAGAGAAGGGCAGTTAGGCTTCTAAAGTACAGATATCTGAAGTGTGAAATGCAGCTAGTAGCTATATTATATGGTTCTAAATACCAGTTTGAAACAGATTGTGTACCAGTGTGGAACAGATTGTGCAAAAGAAGACCAAAATCACTTGAAAGTCCTCGAGAATATCTGAAAGAAGGAATATAATTAACCAAACCAGGATTTGGCCCCAAGACAGAGAAATGAACACTCTGGTTCTTAGAAAGGGAGCCAGGATCTCAGAAATGTGCAATCAATTCTTTATTTGTGAAATTCAAGATGCAGTTACTATTACTTAGCAAGCAGATGAGAAGATATGAAAAAGGAATGTTCACTGCAACCAATTCCAGGTGACACTCCTTATTTGTCAGTTGTTTTAATGCTGTCAACAAACTGCTCTGCATGTGTCAGGCAAAAATGATTTAATTCTATTTTTCCCTTCCTCTGATAAACTAAGGTCAAAGTAAAGATATAAATTAAAAGTCGACCTCAAGCCTACATCAACAGAAGCGGTATCTGAATACTTTAGAGCTTGGTGATAAGCAAAATGTGAACACCTTCCAAACAATTTTAGTGAGGGAGGAGCAGAAATTAAAAATACAAGATAAGCAAATTTCAAAGTTAAAAAGCAATTAAGCATAATTGACACGGCCAGATTCTAAAAGCTTCTCCACATAATGCACGAAACTGCAGCGTTGTTGGCCCAAATGGGATTTCCTTTAAAAGAAAAAAAAAAAAAATTTTTTTTTTTTTTTAAGGCCTCAGATTGCAGCAACACGGTCCTTGCGGCGGCCAGCTCGACATCAGCTGTGTGGCTGGGGCCTCTGAGGACCTGACTGGCATAAAGGTGTTTGCACACAGGTCCTTGACAGGCGCGCGCCCCGCTCCCGCGTGTCCGCCCCGGGCCCTCGGGCGGAGGCCCCGGGCCTGCTTCCAGGCGCGGCGAGCCGGGGGTGGGCCGGCCCCGGGGTTTTCCTTCCTCACTCATTCATTCTCTGATTCACAGGTTCCTGGAGGCGGCTCACAGGGCTGCGCCGAGGACAGGCGGGGCGCGAGGACAGCGCGGCTGGGCGCGGCCGGCGCCGGAGGGCAGGGTGAGCGCGGCGCGCGAGGGGGCGCGGGCGGGGGGCGCGGGCGGCCCGCGGGCGGGCGGCCGGGAGGGGCGGGCGCGGCCGCAGGCGCCGGAAGTGAGTGTTGGCGGCGGGCGGGGGGAGCGAGCGGCCGGGCGCGAGTCGGTCGGCCCGCGGGTCGCCCGGCCCTCAGCCCCGCCTTCTGCGTCTCGGCCGGACGCGGCCGCGCTCGGATCCGCCGCCGCCGGGCGCTGCGGCCGCCCCGCCCGCGCTCCCGCCCCCGCCGGCCGCCGCCCGGTCGGTCAGTCAGTCAGTCAGTCACGGAGCGCGCGGCGCGGGAGCTCGGGCGCTCGCGGCGTCCCCGGCGAAGGCGCGCCCGCCCGGGGAGGAGGCGGCTGGAGAGGCGCGGGCGGCGGCTGCCCGGCCCGGGAGCCGCGGGAGCCGGAGCCGCGGGAGGACCGCGCGGCCGCCGCGGTGAGTGCCGGGGCTGGCCCTCGGGCCGCGCGGGGAGCCGGCGGGGTGGCGGGGCGCTGCCGCCGCTCCAGCCTCCATTTTCCGGCCGCGGCCGCACCATCCCGGCGCGGTGCGGGCGGCGGAGCCCGGCGCGGGGGCGCGGCCGGGGCGGGGGCGCGGGCGCGGGCGGGCTGGTCGGGGCTCGCCCGGCGAGGCGGCGGGGGGCCGGCGGGTGGGGGGCGGCGGGGCCCGGGCTGCACCTCGCGCCCCTGGGGGCCGCGACGGAGGGAGACAATGAGCGGCTGGGCCGCCCGGGGAGGGTGCGGCTCGGCTTCTCCCACCCGGCGCGGGGGCTGCGGGCCGGGGCCGGCGCCGCGGGGAGGGGAGCACGCTCCGCCCGGCCGCACACGCCGCTGCTGCCCAGCCCGGGCTCCTCGGGCTCCGTGGTTTCGGGGCTCCCCGTCTCTCGGAAACGAGTTCGGTGCAGAGATTGAGCAAGGCGGGGCACCTTCAGCTGGGCGCCCGGCGGTCTCCGCGCCCGGTGCGTTCCCGCCGGAAACCCCAGCCGCGGGAAGGGCGGGGAGCAGGGTCGTGATCTTAGGGTGCCTTCTTTTTGAGACGGGTTGAAAGAGGGGGTTCCTTATCCAGACGACGTCTTAGGGTGTCCCCGTAGTGCGAGCTGGAAGCCGCATCCTCCTCGTTGCTGCCGCGCTCGGAGACGTGGCCGGGGGAGCCGAGGGCGCTCTGGAAGGGGCTGCAACGCGTTACACCCAAGGTGTCTTCCGTGCGAGCATCTCTCGCGTTCTGAGGGAAGAGCTGTCGGGAAAGTCGGGGAGATTGGGGGTTCTTGCTCTGACCTCCCGGGGAGGGGTGAGGAGGTCTGCAGCCTTCCTCTGGGGACGCGGCGCTGCCCGTGCGCGGCGCCCTGTGGAGCTGCCGTGAAGGTGGCCGGCCGGGCTGGGGCGTCATCTGATTATGAGAATGGTGCTGAGTTCTTGGGAATGTTGAATCCAGCAACCATTCGTGGATTGCCTGCTCTCTGTTAGATCGAGTGAGGGCCACGGAGTGAACAAGACGGGCAGCTCATGGGGTGGTGGAAAGTGAAGAGAGTTGTTTAGAACCAGGGAAATCAGCAGTTCCCTAAGCTCTGGAATTAGCCGTGGAGAGTGGGTTGCAGTTGGATAAGCTGTTGCACTCTCAGCTGTGTGTTCTTTATCAGTAAAATGGGAATAACACCACCTGCCTCCCGCCCAGATTGTTACCAGACAGATCAAATGATGTATGCAAATCACCCAGCTCCCTGCCTGGCACTGGGGTGTCTAACGCCTGTTAATTCCTTTCCTCTTCCTTTGCTGCTCTTGGGATTTTCTTGGAGAAAGGTGGGGGGAGATGTCAATGTGGGTAATCATTAGTGCTGTGCATTGTGTTGGGGATGGGGAGTGGGTTGTGGAAGTAGTGGTGCAGAATAGGGGGTTGAAGAGAGCAATTCTGGATTGGGAGCACTCAGAGAAAATTCGTGGAAGCTGCGGAGGCATTTAAGTGGAACCTTGAAGGAGGGTAGGATTCCAGCTGATGTAGATTGAGGGTGGGGGCAGGACTTTGCCTGCAGAGGTGGTACTATCCTTTAAGAGCCACATTGAGGTGGGGGAGGGCTAAATAGAGAGGCTCAAAACCCTTTTAGCTCTGACCTTCAAAGAGCGTCTCTGTTATTTTGCTTTTTGTATTGAGATTTTCACAGAAGCCAGATCTAGCCCTATTCAAGTAAGTACAAAAAAGGCCTACAAGGCTTATTGATAATGTGAATTTTGGGATGACACATTTTGTGTTACTTGGACTGCTGCTCTGTTCTGTTTAAATTTAATAAATGATTATTTGTAGATACTTCCTGGCGATTAATAGTGGTTGTGTTTGGTAAAAAAAAAAAGCAGCTGAATTTTAAAATTCAGAGGTCTCACTAAAATTATAAATTAAGAAACTGGCTGAAAGTAGTAGGAGTGGTGGGCACATTTGGATGTGCTGCAAACTCGAGGTCTATATTGTTTGTTTTCACAAATATTTTAACACTTTTCTGAAAAGGTGTTTTAACCGGCGTCCACTATCCATCTCCAGAACTTTTTCATTATCCTAAACTGAATTGCTTATCATTAAACTGTAACTAACTCTTCACCCCCTCTCACTGTAGCCCCTAGTGACCACTTTCCTACTTTGTCTCTAATAATTTGATTATTCTAGGGAATTTTTAGTGGAATCATGCAGTATTTGTTCTCTAGTATAAAGATTCATCCATGTTGTAGCATGAATCTGAATTTCACTCCTTTATAAGGCTGAATAATACTTCACAGCATTTTGGCAACAAGGGACTGCATGTACCTGTGCTCTGCCTATATATGCATATATATATATATATATATATGTATGAGTATATATGTGCATATGTGTATATATCCTGGATGTGTGGTCGGTTTAATCTGGATTTGTGGTTTTATACTCTGTGAAATGATGAAATCATCTAATGGCCCACTGTACCCCATTACTAAGCAATGCATGACTCTGTACCACATTTTACTTATTCATCTCTAGATGGCTGTGTTTTTTACCTTTTGCCTGTTGTGAGTAATGCATATATCCAGAAGCGGGATTGCTGGGACATGGGTAATTCTGTGTGAATTTTGAGGTACCTCATAATGGCTCCACAGCAGATGCACCCTTGTACTTTCCTACCAACAGTGCACGAGAGTTCTAATTTCCCCACATCCTCAACACTTGTTACTTTCTGTGGCTTTTTTAATAATAGGTGTGAAGTGGAATCTCATTGTGGTTTTGAGTGCATTTTTCTAATGATTGGTGATGTTGAGCATTTTTTCCTGTGACTACTGGCCGTTAGTGATAGAAATGTCTATCCAAGTCCTTTACCAATTTTTAAAATCATTTCTTTTTTTTTTTTGTTGTACAGTTGTAGGAATTCTTTATCTATTCTGGATATTAACCTCTTAATATAGTCATGATTTACAAATATTTTCTTCCATTCTGTGGGTTGTCTTTTTCACTGTTTGGTAGTCTTACTTTAAATGCACATTATCTACTTTTATTGCCTGTGCTTTTGGTGTTATGTCTAAGAAATCAGTGTCAAACTCAGTATTGGGAAGCTTTTCTTCTGTGCTCTTTAAGAGTTTTATTGTCTTAACTCTTATGTTTTTAGGTCTTTGATCCAGTTTGAGTTAATTGTTATATATGATGTTGGGTAAGGTTCAGTCTTATTCTTTTGTAAGTGTATGTTCTAGGTTCACACCACCTTAGATTTATGTTACCACACCAGACCTACCACCAAAGCTCCTGTAGTCATTTACCACAGACATTTGGGTGCCCTCCCTCCTTGGCTCCTACCGCTGCTTTCACTCCTATTCTAGTAGCTTCATTACTTCAGATTTCTAGGGTTCCTTTTGGTTTAGTTCTATCAGGTACTTAGTTTCTTTCTCTATATTCCACCTGAGTGAAATAATCCTGTAGTCTTTCCCCTTCTGACTTCACTTAGCATCACCTCCTCCAGTTCCATCCATGTTGTCCCAAATGGCAAGAGTTCATCTTTTCTGTAGCTGAGTAGTAGCCCCAAATATATATACATACAACATTTTATTAATTCCCTTCTCTGCTGTTGGGTAGTTCGTTTGTACAACTTGGCTATTATACATTGTGCTGCAGAGAACATAGGAGTGCATGTCTCTCTTCAAATTAGTGATTTTGTAGATCGATCTTTGGATAGATAACCTAGGAGTGGGATTGCTGGATCATACGGTATATTTGTTTTTCATATTTTGAGGAACCTTCTTACTGTTTTCCATAGGAACTGGACCCGTCTACATTTTGACCAACTGTGCATGAGGGCTCCTTTTTCTCTGTACCCTTGCCAACATTTGTTTCTAGTTTTTTTGATATGGGCCATTTTCACTGGAGTGAGGTTGTATCTCATTGTGGTTTTGATTTGTACTTCCCTAATAATTGAGGAACATTTTTTTTATGCAGTCTGTACCATTTGTTAAAAGGACTGCCCTTTCCCCATTGTATGGCCCCCTCATGTACATGTATAAGATTTTACACACTAAAAACCCTAGTCCTGGGCCACCCTGATGGCACAAGGCCTTAAAGCCTCAGCATGTTCAAGCTGTCTATCACCAGCCACTGCAGCACCAGTTCAATCCCCAGCCAGGGAGCTATCCACATGGCACAGTAGAACTCTCCTGTCTTGCCCACTGCTCCCCTCAGCAGTGTATTTCAGTCAGTCTGCCTGTTCTGCTCCCCACTCTGTTTCTGGTGAATCCTCTTACCCCCACCCCCACCTTTGGCCTATACCCCAGCTCTTGTATGCATAAATAAAATGGACCTTTAAAAAATAAAAATAAAACCCTAGTCCTGTGTGGCTATGCAGGGCAGGCATTACTTGGAAAAAACTTCACTTACTGTGTCCATGATTATTTGTGAATTTTAAATGGTTATTAATAAGGGAAGTTGTGATTTACTGTAGGTTTAAGAACTTGTCTTAGCACATTTCTATTCATATAGAATTGTCTAAACAACCTTACTATGGCACATATGCAGTGGTCATTTAAACAATAGGGTAGGGCCTCCCCTGGTGGCACAGTGGTTGAGCGCTGGGCTGTGAAGCTGAGCGCAGCCTCTGCAGCACCGGTTTGATCCCAGCCTGCCGGCGATGGTCCCACATGGCACGCAGACATCTCCTCCTGCCCACTGCTCCCCTTAGCAGTGTACTTTGTCAGTCTGCCTGTTCTGCTCCCTGCTCTGGCTCTGGTGAATTCTCTCACCCTCCCACGCTTCTGACTGTACCCAGTGCTTGTATAAATAAATAAATAAACAATAGGGTAAGGCTTAGGCCCATTTCTTTGAGGATTGTGTTCATCCTGTGTAAATCATTGTTTGGTAATACATGAACATATCATGGTGTATTATAGATTTTTTTAAAGATTATTTATGCATACAAGAACTGGGGTACAGGCCAGAGATACAGG